ACGGATTTGTAGAGATTTGGAGACAACTGATTGAATATTTATGGTCCACTTGAGGTTAGATGTAAAAATGACTCTAAAATCATGCTCTTTAGTAAAGTTACTTTGGCATTTATTTATGCCATGATTATTTTCTGATTATTTTGTATTATGATTATTTTGTTAAAAGTAACTGTACATAGGATTGGTTTTACCATAATGGATAACACTGCATTTTAAAATGTCTAATTTGAATAACCAAGTGTTTGACCACTCGTATACTAAGTGTAGACAATTTATTAAAATGTTAGCTATGCTGCCAGCAAAAAACTTACGAAGCGGTTTATAGGTAAAAATATTAGTTTTACTTTGATGATTAAAAAAAAAAAATGCAAAATTTGGCTAATTTAAAAAAATAACTATGAATAAATTTTTTGAAATTTTCTCTCTCTCTCACACTCTATATATATATATATATATATATATATATATATATATATATATATATATATATATATATATATATATATATATATATATATATATATATATATATATATATATATATATATATATATATTTTTCATCTATAAGTAATAAAACTAAATATATAAAACCAAAAAAAATAATTTTTAAAAATAAAAACACACCAGTAACGTAAGAATATGATAAAATAGACACTTATTGATAAGTGTTCCAAATTTCAACTGTTCATATGTATATATATATATATATATATATACATATATATATATATATATACATATATATATATAAATATATATATATATATATATATAAATATATATATATATATACATTCATATATATATACATATATATATATGTATATATATATATATATATATATATATATATATATATATATATATATATATATATATATATATATATATATATATATATATATATATATATATATATATATATATATATATATATATATATATATATATATATATATATATATATGAAAACCTGTCTTGGGTCAACTAAGATTCTAGAACATAGCTACATACCTAACAGTTGAAATTTGGAACACTTATCAATAAGTGTCTATTTTATCATATTCTTACGTTACTGGTGTGTTTTTATTTTTAAAAATTTTTTTTTTTGGTTTTATATATTTAGTTTTATTACTTATAGATGAAAAATATAACATTTTTGATCAGTAACGTAAGTTATCAAAATTTTAACCTTTTATGCATATAAAAAATAAAAAACCTATTTTCTGTACCTCTACCATCTTTTTAAACTTTTTTTCTAAAAATTAAAAGGTTACATAGAATTTAAAGTTTAATATTGAGTTAAAATGAAAAAATGTGACCCTGCCGTTTCTTCCCGAGGAGACTTCATATGTTTACAAGTTAAAAATAAAGAATACAAAAAGATAAGAATAAAATAAAAAGTAGAACCTTAAAAAATAAGGTTCGCATCAGTGACCGCCAGAAATTTCAAAAAAAAAAAAAAAAAAAAATTAAGGCAATGGTGCCAGGAAAATTGTTGTGAAGAGCTTTTTCAATAAAGCATATTAGTTTTTTTGTTTAAGGTACCACTGCGTGTAATTTTTTTAATAGATAGTGATCTTTTTTGGTCTTTTATAAAAACAGTTAGACGACACCCTGTTTGTGTTGCAGCAATAGACATTGAACATATTTTATCAAAGAAAATGGATCTTTTAGTATTTTATTTCCTTTTATATATTTTTTCAATAAGATTTTTCTTGAGTTTAATTTTTCACAATGTTTGTGGTCTCTTAACTAAGATATCCTTTGATATCATATAAAAAAAAATGACTGTAAGCCCAAAAAACTGTAAAACTTCATAAATCTAAACTGTAAACTTAATGAAATTCAGAATTAGCTCGCATTTTTTTTAGTTTATTTTGCCTTTCAGTATAAATACAGTTTTTATGTAAATACTTATATAATAAAATAAATAGCTGGAGCAAGAAGAAGACATAATGTCTTATCACTGAATACCAATTTTATAAAATCGTAATTTACAAATCTTTTGTTGTACAGGCGTAAATATATAAACTAAAAAAATAAAACAAAATATTGTTTTATAAAAGTTATAATACATAAAGAAGAAAGAATTTTATTGCTAAACTGCTTACATTTTCTACAGTAGCAAAAAAAAAAATATATATATATATTATCAAGATTACTTTTAAATTTTCTTTGTGATTTTATTTTATCCCCAAATTAAAATTTTTTAAAATATATGTTCATAACTCATCATTATAATCAATTATAATCAATTATAATGTTTTATAATCAAAAAACGACCCTAAAGTTTATCGTTGACGTCACTTTTTCGTTTTTTTCTTTTGACTCATGCAGTCATTGTTTCATTAAAATTCAACTATTGCTTTAATCATTAATCTGTGTAAAATAGTTTTTGAGTTGAGCCCAATACATTTCTATAGGGTTGAACTTTCAATAGAACTTTGTAATATTTTATTTAAAAAGCTCTTCACAACAATATTGTTGGCACCACTGCCCTCATTTTAAAGCTATTTTAGATTCTCATAAAAAAAACAAAAGCAACAAAAAAAGTTTCAAAAAATTTAATCGTATTTTTTTTAAATTAATTTAATTTTACAGTTTTTTGGCCATACAATAAAAAATATAACTTTTAATGTAAAAACCACTTCGTAATTTTTTTTTGCTTCAGCATTGCCGACATTTTAGATTAATATTTTTTCGCCTATTTTAGAATTTTTTATTAATTTCTAGCAATCACTAATAGACACAAAGTGAGCTAATGGTCAAAAATTACTTTTTCTTATATTATTTCAAAAAAACGCACAAAAATTTAAAAAATTTGTAAAACATTTCCCAAAAAACAAAAAGAAAAAAAAAAAAAAAATTAATTTTATTAAAAGACTTTTTTTTTTTTTTTTTAATTTTTTTATGGTCATCCTTATGGGTCCTTTATAGATAAATAAGCAATATAAATAATAATTTAACAATATCATTCCTTTTTAATTATACGATCAAACAAATTACATACTTATTATTTATTAAACAATCCAACACTTTATTTACGTCAGTTCTGACGGATCTTTAGAACTTCTATGTCGTGTTCTAGTTTTCTGTTATATTAATAAACACATTCATTCTCACATAAAAGTCAAGAGTTCTTACGCAGATTTACATTCACAAGTTTTATACTTTTGTAAACAATTTAACTAAAACTGATGCTTGCTTTGGTGAGTAGAACTCCATTTAGTTGAAACTTTGTTTGTAAAGTAACTAATTAAAAACCTCTATGTTTGATTTTTTTATATTAGTTTACTTTTCTTAAAGCTGATGCAAACAAATACCACAAAATTTGCCTGTTTAAAATCTGAAACATATTTGAAACGTTGCAAAGAATCTGCATAAGTCCACCTAAAGAAAAGTAGTTACATTCCATCTGGCACAACTCCTTTAAAAATTACGAATTCTGTTGCGTGTTTAAACCCCTTTGGGGCTGTCTGTAAATGATGTCAGTGATTTTTCTCAATATTTCGACCCCCTCGCCCCTTTTTCAAAATCTGTCAATTTTTGGACAACCCTCCCTTATATATGATGTCAGTTTTTGTACCCCCTCCTAGAGTAACATTAAAAATATGTGTAAACACCATTGGTTTTATTTCTGGTTAAATTATGCATTTATATAGTAGTAGATCTCAAAAAGTTATATTATAGAACAGTTGGTACCTCATCAAATAATAAAGAAACAAATCAAAATTTTATTCTATATCTATAATATAAATACAATCGTTAATTATCTTCCCATGAATTGTTGAAGTGATTTTCGATAATAATAACAAATGTATTTTAAAAAATGACAAAAATGACTTTATGTGTTTGCTTTGAAGCACATTTTATAAACTGCTAGGGATCGAATAACGATTGTTAAATTTATATACAAATTGTTGAAACAATAAGATTTTCAGTTAATTGGTAATACAATAATAAAACCAACGTTGGTAAACTTTCAATTTATTTCATGTCTCTGTAAAACTTACATCGAATTACCAACAAAGCAAATATGCCTAAAATCTAAGATCTAAAATTTTTAAAATTTGCTCGTATAAATTATTTTCTTCTTAAATTGACATCATTGTGGTCTCAATACCTCCCTTCCCCATTGTCAATTCTTGACAAACTATTCTATTCCCCTTCCCCTATATTTACTGACATCATTTATGGATGTCCCTCTTAAAACAAAAAGAATAACGCGCGTCAAAAATAGGTTTTTAAACGTGAAATTAGTTATTACCATTTATTGAAGCACCAAATAAGATATTACCCAGCTGGCATATCTAGTTTCACTATCAGAATTAAAACCTGTATAGACAAAAACATGTTCATAAAACGGCAGTTTTATTCGAGTTTAACACGTGTTATATGAGGTTTTAAAGTCTTAAATGAACTTAGGGAAAAAAAAAGGAAAATACTTGTATTTTTTCTTATTAACATATTAACATCGTACGAGTTCAATTTAGAGCGTAAACGAAGTCTTAATAAAAGGAAGTCTTAAAGAAAGTCTTCGAAAATTGGTTTCACTTTCTTTACAAAAAGTTAGTATTATATTATATTGGGTTTTTGTAACAATGTAAAACCAGTCATATACAAGCACTACTTGGTTTTTTTTATTTGTTACGAAATCTCTTTATACTATTATACTAACTTTCCGTAAGGAATGTGAAACCAACACGCGATATTTAAATTTAAAACTTAATAAAACACGAATAAAATTTCCCGTGAAATCAACGTGCTTTCGGTTTACGCGTGGTTGTGAAAAAATGCGTGTCTATACAATTTTTAATAAAGAAAGTGAAATTAGTTGTATAGGCAGGGAGGACTGGGTAACGCTTGAAATTTCCTTTCTATTGTAAAACTATTGCAATTCTTAGCGCTAAGCTAAGACTTGCAATAGTTTTTAGCTAACTACTTTTTAATCTGTCGTTTTTCAAGGCACTCATTTATAAATCATTTTTCTTTTAGATAAATTATAACCAGAATTTTGGAGAAATTGATTAAAAAGCTAGTGGTATGGGATATTTTGATTCTGTATTATCAATCGAATTTAATTTAAACTGCAAATGGCTTCCAGTCAATCAATTTTTATTTCAGATGGCTAATATATTTTTAGTATTCACCTACTTTATTAAACCAATAAATGCATGGGGTTTTATTAAATTAAAATTATCTTTAACGTTAGCTGGGTTGTGCTTTGCTATATGGGGAGGATTAATTATATGTTCTTTTGATTGCTTGATATGGAATTTAATTTTTGCGTTTGTAAACGCTGCACATATTCTTTACTTACTGGTAAAAGTTAGATCTAAAAGATTCTCTGCTGAACACGAACATTTATATGTGGAAGCATTTAGAACATGTGGCGTTGAACGGTTTCAGTACTGCAAATTTTCGGAGTTATCTAAAAATATTGTTGTTCAAATCGGAGAGTATTTTACAAAAGATGATTTAAATCAAAAGAGAGAAATCTATTTAGTTACTAGCGGAAGGTAACTTTTTTAAACTATACAACTGTTTTTTAAACTCTGAAATAAAACTTCTAAAATTTTCCAATGGTTAAATTTGATTTTATTTATTGCAGGTATTTTTTTTTATCCTTTTTTTAAACCACATTTTTACAACAAGTGTGCTTTTAAAGAATTGGATAAAAATTTGGCTAAAGTATTGTCAAATGGCTAAACAGCCTAAAACAATGACATAGGTTTTATAATATCTCAAAATTTAGTCAAAGTACTAAGCATTTTTTAATATTGGAATACTTTAACGCAATTTGAAACTTTGTAATAATGAAAATTAATTGAAATTTTAAAAATTCTTAAACTCATTAATATTATATATTTGAATAAAACTGTATTTTTATGCCGTTTTTAATCGTTACAAAGATGCGGTAACAAAATCTGTACTTTTATAACGCAATTTTATGCGGTAATTTTGTAATTAAGGCATAAAATTACGTAACTGTATTTACTGGGTATTTTGTTTCTAATTCTAAGTACGGTATTTTTATTTCTGTTACTATCAGCTTTTTTATGTTGTTTAAGTAGGTCTATTTGGTCTTGAAAAAATGAAATATTTATGTCAGGATAGAAAAGAAAGATGGAAACTTTTAAATTAAATAAAATTTAGATTAGGTTTTAAGTGTATTTAAACGCAAATGGTTACGATAATTTCATTTATATTTTCAATGAATGTTTTTGCTTTTTTTCTACTTTTATTCTGCTTTAGCAGTGTTTCTGTTGTATTCAAAAACTCTCCGCTTTTAAAAGCAAGAAACTGATTGGCAACTAGCATTAATATTTGTTTCAATAAAGCCACTGATTCAGGAGAACTGCATGCTTAAGCAACTAATTTTTACAGCTTATTGTTTGGTAATTGCTAGCTTCATTCCCACAAAAATTCGAAATAGTTAAATGTTCCGAATCAGGCAAATCAATTAGATCCAGTTTCTCTTTCATACAAATTCGTTAATTTTTGGTTTTAAAATTTTTGAGTAACAAAATGAGTCTGTTCATTTAAAGTAAAACTTTAGGTTCTAGGAAAAAATCCCCCCGGAAAAAATCCCCCCGAAATAATCCCCCGAGAAAAAATCACCCCGAGAAAAAATCCCCCCGGAAAAAATCTCCCGAGAAAAAATCCCCCCGGGGAATATCCCCCAAAAAAAGAAATTTTTTTTTTACATAAAAATTATCAATATGCAGTTATGTTTATTTCTTTATTTATTTTAAATATTTATATTTATACTTCATTTTTCATCAAAATGCCAAGTTATGCGCTATTCCTCGAAGGTAGTGAATATGAAACCCTAACCCTAACCCTAACCCTGACGAACTGCGAACTGGTAAAATGTGAACTTTTTTGCGAACTATCGTAGTTAATTTAGCGGTATATTTTAAGAACTTTTAAGCAAAAAAAATATTTAAAAAAAAATAAAACGAAGTTAAGTGAAACTAGACGAAAACAATGAATATATATATATATAAATATATATATATATATATATATATATATATATATATATATATATATATATATATATATATATATATATATATATATATATATATATATATATATATATATATATATATATATATATTTGCCTGCCTGCCCAACCCAAACCCTCAGTCGATGTAGCAGCACTCCGGCTATTTGTCAGTCGATGTAGCAGCACTCCGTTGCGAGTCAGGCTATAAGATAGTCGATGTAGCAATACTCCGCGCATGTTTTACAGTTAAAAAAATAAAAATATTATTTTTTATAAAGCTTTAAAATAGAATATTAAGAATTAGAGAGTTTTTTTTTATTATTATTTTTTACCGACAACCGAGAAATAGCGCATAACCTTACATTTTGATGAAAAATAAAGTATTTTATAAAACTATTTAAGATAAATAAATATAACTATTTTATTGATAATTTTTATGTAAAAAAAAATTTTCTTTTTTTGGGGGGATATTTCCCGGGGGGATTTTTTCTCGGGGGGATTTTTTCCAGGGGGATTTTTTCCCGGGGGATTATTTCGGGGGGATTTTTTCCGGGGGGATTTTTTCCCGGGGTATTTTTTCCTGCTACCAAACTTTATTGTTGAAAAAACTGTTCAAACCGATAATCGGTTCTACAAAGTAATTATGTAATATTTTTGTTAAAGTTATGGTTTAATAAAAAAAATATAATAAATTTATGGGGAATATAATACAAGCATACGTACAACAAATTTCATGAATAAAAAAATTCAATGTTATGACGCTTGTGTTGAAGAATCTTTCCACTTTGTTAGAAATATTTTGTTAAATGATTTGATTTTAGTTTAGCTTAAATCTTTAAAACCTTTTTTTTTGAGTTTTATTTTTTAGTTTGGATTGCTCTGCCGGATTGATACAAAAACCTTTTTTAACTTTAATGAATTATTCATAAAAATAGTTTTTTGTGTTAACTCGGCAGAGCAATTCAAACTTCCAAAAGAAAAATTTGGCTGCTTTATTATGAATATCAATTCTAGTTGCTTTTTTCCCATCGCGTGAATAAAGTTAATGACATCGCGTGAATAAAGGTAATGATCATTGAAGCATAATGGCTTACCACGAGTTAATTGCCTAGTATTTTATTATTAGTAATTATTGAGTAGTTACAAATAATAACATTACGAAGAAAAAATTACTTAAAACAGCAACAATTAAATAGTAACAATTTTATTATTCAGAAATAATTTGATTGTATTTCTTTATCAGCCACTGCATATAATACAAGAAAAAATACTTTACCCAGTGGGCACCCGACGTCAATCCGACGTCGGATTTACGTTTGATTTTCATCAGCGATGTCAAAAGACCTATTCCGACGTTGTTCCGATGTCAGTAAAATGACGTCGGGCGATGTCTTTATCTCAACATCCCCTGACGTCGTTTCGATGTATTTTGACGTTGTTCCGACATCTTATAAAAGACGTCCAAAAAACGTCGCAGTACTGACATCGATCCAACGTCGATAAAAAGACGTCGGGCAACGTCATAATATTAACGTACTCCGATGTCTTTTGACGTCTTCCGACGTCAATCCAACGTCCTTAAAACGACGTTGGAACAACGTCGTAAGACATCGCTGATGAAAATTTAATCCAAACCCAACAATATGTGTGCAATTGTGCTCTTCAATAATTATGTGAACTAAGCGTGTTTTTTTATTAATGGAAAAAAGTTTGAATAAAGGTTGATAAAGCATCATGAGGTTTTGTATGATGCACTAGCATAGTTTTTTAACTATTAACATTTTCGAGTATACATTTTTTATAAAATATAACTATTCGTTTTAATATTTATATAATATTTAAACAAAATTATTTCTTATCAAAGTAATAATTCCCAAATTGCTACAAGTATACATTACTAAATAAACGCATCAATTAATATGTCCTCGTGGTGTAGTGGTAAGCGGTATCTAATAGACCGAGGTTCGTTTCCTGCCAAAGGCAACGTTTTTTAGTTTTCAAAAAACACGTTGGATTTACATCGGAATGCCGACGTCGCGCGAGGTCAGTTTATCCGACGTCAAATAACATTTCCATTTCCAACGTAAACCCAACGTCGATCCGACGTCGAGATCCGACGTCGCTCGACGTTCGTTCGACGTCGAAATGCCCACTGGGTAAAGTTTATATTGGAATATTTACTTCAAGAATATTTTTGAAGATTTTCCTTTGCTTCAATGAGTTCCAGAAATCAATTGCATAGCTTATTGCATAGATCTTTATTAGGAATTATATTTTGTAACACAATAATTTTTACATTTTTTTGTGTTTTGCATTAAGTTCTATACATAGCCTTTAATAATAACTGGCCTTGACATCGCACAAAACGTCGTAAAAACTGAAGGTTGATTAAACTTTCACTTGTACTTTTATTGATATGTTTTTATATTAGGTAGGGTGTAATGGCAGTTGTTGTTTTCTAATAAAAATCCCTAATTAAGACGGAAATATAAAAGGAAAACCAAAAAAAAAAATTTTTTAATATATAATTGATAATTATACTTTTCGTATCTAAAATTTAATCAATAACAAGCAAAACCATAACAATGTATGTATATATATATATATATATATATATATATATATATATATATATATATATATATATATATATATATATATATATATATATATATATATATATATATATATACATAGATTACATATTTTGCATTATTTTTTTGTGATTTTAAATTTATATTTAGCTGCTGTGAACTGAAACTGAGTAACACAAAATGTAGGGCCAATAGCACCTTGAAAAAATAAAAATAAAAATATTGACCATTGGAAAAGAGTATCAGAAGCAATTTCAAGCTCGCCTCTGTTTAGGCTATTCATTTTTATAATAATAATTGGTACTGTCATCAAAAATTTTTGTTTCGCTTTTTTGCACATAGTTAGTTATGTAAACTACTAAGTTAGTTATGTAAACTACTAAGTTAGTTATGTAAACTACTAAGTTAGTTATGTAAACTACTAAGTTAGTTATGTAAACTACTAAGTTAGTTATGTAAACTACTAAGTTAGTTATGTAAACTACTAAGTTAGTTATGTAAACTACTAAGTTAGTTATGTAAACTATAGCCACTAATGTAGATTTATTAAATGAGCTTTCAAGATCATGTACTATTCAGCAGTTCTGTTTTATCAGTAGAAATATCTCTACAACGTGTGTCGCAAGTATGACCATCGGTACCATCTACAAGCATGTCAAGTTGTGATATCAATTAGTATGTTGAATATGAATTTTTTTAATTACAGATTTATAAAGTAAGTATCTCCAGAATTTCTCCACATAATTTATTTCTAAATCGAATGACATTGACGGCATTCCAGAGAGAATTTTTTCAATAAATAAATTATTTTCAATCTCTGGATGCGTTATATTGCAGCTACTGTTTCTTCGCAAAAAACAGACAAATTGTTTTTTATTGGTTTTGGATAAGCTAATTTAGCTGTAAGTTTAGAGAGTTAACCATGGTTTGCTATCAGCTGTTTAAACATTTCACTGGCATTTTTTTTGCAAATGTCTTTACTATATTCAATATCATTTATTGCATCAACAATTTGTTAACATAGAAAAAACTGAAATTCAGAGGAAAGATTTGCAACAGGTTGAGCTCTGCATATAAATTCTTGTTCTCCAAGAAGACATTTAATCATAAATGGTAAAATTGTTCTGCTAACTATTCAGGGTAGTTTACTGCATGACCAAACAATTGGTAACAATTGGTTACAATTGGTGACCAATATTTGGTAAAGTAAGCTTTGACATAAACCTCATCAAATAGAAGTATGAAAGCTCATTTTAATGAATCTAATTTTAATTCATAAAAATACTATTTACAAAATTTAGGTCCTCCATTGAGCTTATTTTTGAAATCAATTGTCTCAAAGCTCATAAACTTGGCAACTTATACTCAATACACAAACGATCATATAAACCTCATCGCATAGCAAAATACTCATATGCTCTACATATGAATCAACCATATATATTCTGAAATATAATTTCATGGATATTTACATATAGTAATTATACTAATTTTAAGTAGCACAAAAAAAGTAGATCTTTATATATATAATTAATAATAATATATTTATAAGAATTAGTCAGGGTTTATAAGAATAGTAATTATAATAATAAAAAAAATAATATTTATAGTAATGAACATAAGAACCACAATAATAATAAAAAAAACAATAACAATTATAATAGTAATTATAATAGCAATAATAATAAAAAAAGTAAGTCTTTAGTTTTGATAAACACAATAGCTAAATATAAATATAAGATAGCTACAAATAGTTGATTGATAAAACATAACAACTAACAAGGACATAAGATATATACACATACTTACCACATGCATAGGTACACACATAAATACACACGCGTGCGTACACACACTCACAGACGTATATATACATACACATATAGATACGTATACATGATATATATAGATACAAAAATATATGCATTTTTAAAAATGTCCAACTAAAATAAAACTAAAAAAAATACATACCGGTGCTAAACAACGGGCTAAAACATATAAAAATATGAACTATACCTTACAATGCCTATTGAACAATAGGGGAGAGTGGGTTATAGGCGAACGCCTATGCGGGAATCCGAATTAAAGACATCAGTTATACAAAGTTGATCATATTTATTGCTTATCAATTAGTTTAACTATTTAGTCATAAACCCTAAAAAGCAATTTTTATAAATCTTATTATAAAATAAAAATTTATGGCAAAAATAAAACCATTGGTGTTCGGAATTACCCTACGCGGGTTAATTCCGAACACATCGGGGGGCAATCACAAACACTGTTGTGTAACAACGAATAAAATTCCATTTGTAATAGCTAAGTGTAAAAAAAATATATTATGCAACAAAAACAAAGTAAGGAGTGGTTTTATATCCATAGAAGCTACAACAGAATGTTACTCAAGAAAATTGTTGCATAAAATTATCTGAAAAAGTTAAAATCAAATTATAGTGAGCAACATCCACAGCTTCATTACACTACTGCACTTCTAGAACTGAGCATGGGAAAAGAAATTGTCGAATTTATTTTTCTATAATGCTGTTTTGACCATGTTCGGAGTTACCCCGAGTTCGTCATTACCCCACTCTCTTCTAGACAAGAATACAAAAACAAACAACAACAACAACAAAAAAACGTCCCTCAAATTAAAATATTATTATTTTTGGTTTCTTTAAAAACGGAGCAATTTTTATATTTTATTTTCATTATTTTTAATTATTTTCCATTTTTGAATGTTTTTTTTCTTTTTCTTTTTCTTTTTTCGTTTCTTTTTCTTTTTTTTTTTTTCTTTTGTTATTTTGTTTGATTTGGTTTTTAATTATTTGTTTGTTTTTTGCTTTTACATTTCTTTGTTTTTCTTTTCTTCACTCACTTTATTTTTATCGAATTCAAAAGATTTATTAGAAAAGCGCGAACGAAAACTTTCGTCTAAAGTTAAAAGATGAAATGTAAACACAGTATCAGAAATCGGCATTCAGTTGAACAACTTTATGGCGCGATATCAAGGCCTGTTATAATAGAAGACCGTGGTTCTCTAGATTTAGTTCCTTTCGATTGCATAAACCTATGACATCATCTAAAAAAGGGTGCCTAGCGTTTTGGATTTTGAACTGCAAAATTACAATACCCAAGGTTGTTTTATTGCTCAAATTGCTGTACGACTGTTGATATATCTCGGATGTAAAACAAAGAATGAATATAACTTTGCTGGGTTTGGAAAAATTGAAAAGTGACTTAAGTGCATTCCTTCTTAATATATCAACCTTTTGCACGTCTTTATAATCGCAAAGTTCAAGGCCATAAGTAAGTATCGGATTCGCTAATAATTTATATAGCTGGACAATAAAGCTTAGATGAGCAAAGCGGATTCCAAACTGAATAAGAGTTTGGATTATAGCCCTGAATTCTGATATTCTATTATCAATATTTGAACGATAAAGTGAGGCAAAAGAGAGTTTATAGTATCGTTTAGTATCGTTTAGTTTAGCTTTTAGTATATTTTAATATATAGTAAAAGAAGAGCTTTTAGCATGTTATTTGAAGAAAAACAAATTTTAATAAATTATGTAATAATTGTGTTTAAATTTATTTTAAACAAAAAATTTACAAGTGCTCCGCTGAAATAAGTGTTCCCTAGTTTTTTTTATAAAATAAAAATAAAATTGGTGACTTTTTACATTACATCAACTGGGTTTTTTAAAGTAATTAACATTCTGTAGTCAAAATTCAAAATATTTAAATAAATCAAAATTAAGTAAATGTTAACAAATTTTAGAGAAAAACGTAATAATTAAATAAGTTTTTAAGATATCTCAGGATTTTGATTTAATAATTTTAAATCTTGAATTAAAGAAATTATAATTTAGAAAATTAGAAATTCTAATATTAAAATTAGATTACTCATTTTTTTTAACGCCTCAAGGTCTATAAACACCCAACTAGGGTGTAAAAATTTAAACATGGAAGAAAAATAAAATTTTCTTACCAAATAATTAACTATAAAAACATAGCTTTATAGTTTAAAATAAAGTGATAAAAAGCAATTTTTTTTCCGATACTTTTATTAGAATTTAGTTTTTTGAAATTTTTTTTTAGATTAGAGATTTATCTTGGTGGTACCGTTGTAGGTCATGTTAGTTCTATGGAATTTTTAAATTCTCCGGAATGGGTAAATTCTGAAGAACTAAAAAGCTCATATCAAGTAAAGTATTGATTAATAAATATTATTTTATAACGATATTTACAAATATATATAAATAAACTCATATTTTTCATTAAAAGATAAAAGCTTTGATAAATAATGCTAATTTCTTTTAAAGTGGTAGACTGCTAAAAAAGTTAGAAAAAAACGGTTTTTCAAAAGTGGCATTGTTTTAAACAGTAACTGATGTAGAGTCTAAAAATATATAGAACTTCGTATGAGAAAAAAAATTTAGAACTAATAAAAGTGATTTATATTAGTAGGGTAATTTTGTTTCCCCTAGCAACGCTCATAGCAACCGCTAGTTAAGGTTAGTAATAAAAAAAAAATTAAAAAACAAAGAAAAAATCTTAAAGCAACTAGGAAAGGGTTTGATAAAAAATACAAAAATTAAGGGGCAACTACCCTCAAATTTCAAAACAACACATATAAAGTAAGTTTTTCTTTAGTCATATAGTAAATATTATACTGACATTAAAAATACCAAAAAATACATAAAATGGTAGCTCGTTGCTATGGCAACTCAAAAAAATAGCTAAAAAACCCACAAAAACTGTGTTTACGCCGTAAAAAAAATAAGAATTATGAGTAAAGGAGTGTCAATGAAATTTTGTAGAACTGTTCTAAATATGTAAATTTGTGATATGAGCGAAGCAGATTTTTAAATAAAAATTTTTTTTGATAAAAAGCTACAGTCAAATTAGGTTATTAAAAAAAAGGTCAAAATACAAAGAAAAAAACTAAAAAACTCAAAATCTTAAGTCATATGAGAAATTCTACTCCGCTCATATCATAAACCTTGGTAAAATGAACGATCCCTGAAAATTTCATCATGATAGCATGTATACTTTTCAAGATTTTTTTCCCGGCGTGTTTAAAAATTAAATTCTCAGAAAACACAAAACAAAAAATAAAATCATAAATTATTGTTCATTTCATAAAAATATCTTTAAAAAAAGTAGCTTTTTAAAAGAATATTTCAAAAACTAAAAACTTTTCTATTGACTTTTGATGATCATTTGATAATCGTTGACGTCGTAACATCTTTCGTTTCATCTTAAAACTTTCACTCGATTTAAATAATGATAGTTTTATTCGTTTTTTGTTTATGAGTCTGCAACCAGCTAAAGTAAAATGCCCTGGTTTCATATTTAGTTTTTCATAAATTAAAATGATGGACTTCATACCGATGTTATAATTTGCAACAGCATCGTACACTCCAAACTCTAAACTGGCTAAACCAACATAATTACTTTTTGGTAATCTATCCCATATTAAATTATTAAAACTCTCGTTGCAATTCTGGGTTTTGCCATGAAGACACTTTACTAATTCAGAATCTTTACTTAAATCAGCATATATTGGCTTGATTTTGTGAATAATATCCACAGGAATTTCTGGTCCAGGTTTGCATATGGAAGTAGACTTTGCTTTATCAATGTTAAACTTACACCAACTATCACCTCCAGTCGGGCAGTAAATATGATAGTTATTTTCCTTAGAAGAAGCTACATGGAAAAGGCTAGCTAATACTGCTTGTTTCATTTTATTCAGATCATTTGTATTGCTCCGGATAGCTACACCAAAAAAATTTTGCAAGCGATCAATAACTGCATTGGTTAGTCGACCACGACCACCTAGACCCTTAACATTTTTTTTTAACTTGCGTAAGCGAGTACCAACTCGTTTTTGGTAATGTCCTACACACTCCAACTTTTTTACCTCCATATTTGGGTATATATCTTTGATAGAAAGATGGGATTTACTATCCCCATCGCCAAGAAATTGAGTATATCTTAACTTATGTTTTTCAATGGAGCGTTTAAAAACTCTCACTGCGCCAACTGATTCCATACCACCAGCTGTACCTTGATAATTGTACAGGCAAATATGTTTGTTTTTCCAATTAGCATATGCATCAGGATTTGATTTTTTTAATTGTTCTTTCATACAGCAAGCTTTACATGATTTATTCATAGGTTCAACATCAATTATTTTTCCACTATCTATTAAAATTGCGGTAAAAACTCCATTCATTGACTGATATCCTCTTTTCTGCCATGATCCATCGCATGATACACCAACATCAACAATGTCCTCAGTAGTTGCATTTTCTTTCATTTCAGTTGCAGCATCTGACATTGTTTCGTATGCAACACTTTTCAGGATGTTTTTTATTTTAGTTGTAATTTTTGAATAGTTTTTGGGTGTCATGGGTTTTGGCATATTCATGAGCTGAGTAAACTTTTCAATGCCAGAATGACCATGGCCTAAGACTCTCATTGCATATATTGTCCTGTTGTTAATATCAAACCCTTTATCACAAGCAACTGATGTATAAAATTCATGTTTATAGTCACAAGATAGTGTAGTACACTTTAAATATAGCAACGTTGCTAGACCTTCCTTTTTTTTCTGATGATCACCTAAGTACAGTGCACACTTTTCACATTGAGGACACATTAACAATAAAAGAACTTTAGATAAAATTTCAGTGTCTATAATTCTGTAACCAGTAATTCTTTTAATGTTTTTACTTGGTACATTTGTAACAACTTTTACTTTTTTAGCTGATGCGCCCAAAATATTTCTTTCAATAGAGTCACATTCACTTACATTACATGCATTTTTATTTTTCTTCACCATAAATCCTCTTCTTTTTTTATAGTAATTTGTTCTCTGCTTTACTCTATCATTAATATTTTTGTTCAAAATAACACCCAAATCAGTAGGTTTTGTCATATTTTTTAATTTCTGCTGTTATATAAATTAGCTTTGATAACTTGATAAAATCGTATTAAAGTAGCAATTGTAAATGGCATATAATAAGGAACAGAATATTAATTAGCAAAGAAGATATAAATCAAAGCATATATTTGAAACAGTACTCCAGGATAAGTTCACAAACAAAATATTCGCCCCCATAGCAACGCGTTGCTATGCAAATATTTTTTACTTGAGTTCAAAAAAACATAAATTAAACAAAAATTTATAAAAAAATGTTTGATTTTTTTTGCAGATTCAAAATCTGCATAAAATTTTGGTCTAAAATTATTAAAAAAAAAAAAATCAAATTTTTAAAAAAATGTGAGGGTAGTTGCCCCTTAAATATTAAATTCTACAATGCAGTAATGGTGTAGTGCCAGATCGCTCACTTACCAAGTACCTGGCACTACCATGCTCAACTTGTTTCTCTACGCAGCAGTCTCAATCTTAATGTTTTGGAGTCGTAAGGTTTGAGAGGATTGTAACATTAAAAAAAATATATTAACAGCCTCTTAAATTGTAGTTGCCCACTTAGAAAGTGAATTTATAAAAAAAAAATCAAATTTAAAACTCTATTCACATATTAGAAAAATCATACAGACAAGTTTATAAATAAGAATGGTTATAATAATATATATAATCTCACCAAATGAGTATAGAAAGAGTGCAAAGTACATCACTGTAACACTAAATGTCATGCCTATTAAAAGCATTGATGGAATTATTATTGCAATACCCTAAAAATAAAGCATTAAAAAAAATTAGTTGTTAAGCCTTTTGTTAAATTTGATAAAAACTTTGGACAAGGATAAAAAAAGGATAAATTATGAACTTTAATAGTATAATGTATGATGCGGTTTGTTCTGGATCATACATTATACTATAAGTTAATAACATATATAACTTCAGTGTTAAGAGTCTAATCTTTTATCTATATTCATAAAAGATGTTACCAATTTAGATAAAATTAATCCACTGATCACACTCTATTAGGTTATAAATAAAATGTTTACCCTAACAGAATGTGTGGCTCTGTTAAAATGTTCAGTCAAATAATTTAAAAGAACAATCAAAGAGAACTTAAGATTACATGGATATTATTCTTGCTAAACAAGCTTTCATTTAGTCTGATTGCTATATCTGCCAAACTGCTTAGAAATTAAAGTAAGAAAGCCAATAAAAAAAGAAAAAAGAAAATGACAAAAGAAAAAAGAAAACAAAGAAATGCAGTGTAAGTAAAGCATACAATATAGAATCTTTGTAATATTAATCTCTTTTAGTTCGTGCAAATCAACTAAACATGGCATTAAGTCGATCATGAACTGTTTAGAAGTATTGTGAAAGTGAGTTGTCTTCAGAGAAATCATATATATTATAACACTGCATGGCCTACTATATTCACGATCTTAGAAGAGCAGTATATAAAAAAGGGGGATTTTAATAAGTTTGTATATTCAATATTTTTAATTTTATATGCTTGTTTCTCTGTTTTATTCCTCTAATTTTCTGGCAAAAATTGCAGGAGCTGTAATTGTCCAATTGACTTAAAATTTTGTACAGAGATTCATTGTAATAAGCTTTATGTCCGGAGATAAAAAAAATTTAGAATATAAACTATTAAAACAACAAACATTTTGTTCTTAAATCTAACGATGCTTTAAAATAAAGAAATTTTCAACAAAAATTTTTATCTCAGGACATTTATCTACATAAAACAAATAAAAATACAAAAAATTAGAACCTAATAAATTATAATTTTTGAGATATCTTTGCCAAGATTTTAGCCTGTGTTTGGCCTAAAATCACCTGTTTTGCCCAAAATATATATGAAAAAAATTAAAAATTATGAATTTTCTAATGTATTTATCATGTTCGAAGTAAAAAAATTTATTGAAATATTGTAAAATACAAAAATTATTTTTTTAGCAGTCTACCGCCTTATTATATAAAAAATTTAATTTAATTTTTATTAGTTATTAAAAAAATACGATATGATTCTTGATTTTGAAAACATGCGAAAGATGCTTCGTTTTTTTAAATTAATACAAAAATTAATATTTTTTTTTTCGATAATGCGTAAAATAAGAAATTTGCATTCAATAAACAGTTAAAAAATAAATAAAAAATAAACAGTTATTTTGAAATCGCCGTAATAAACTAGGACCATTTTTACTCGATTTTTAAAAATCTATTTTTGCAGTAGAGCACATGTCCATATAAACTGTATAATCGGTGCAAAAACCAATTAAAGTCGATTTTATTCGATTTTTTTTAATATCGAACCTGCATGTTTCTAGATAAAACAAAACATAAACAAATCAGTTTATATACTTCACATTCAAAGTTTGTTTTCATATTTTATCAAATAAGCAAAAAAAAAAAAGATAAAAATAAAATAGATAAAAAATGGGTGAAGATGGTGGAGGTTGTAAGAGACGGTGGTGGGGGTGCGTCATGGTTGAGGTTAAATACTTTTAACTATTAAAATCATTTTTTTTTTTTTATTAAAGATTTCCATAAAAGCAATAACGGATTGTCAAGTTTTTAAATGGGACAAAGAAAGTCTTTTTCAGTTATTTAAAAATGATGCAGTTCTTAAAAATGCATTCGACGCTCTTATTGCTAAAGACATTTGTAAAAAACTACTTGAGGTATACAAGAAAATATTAATTTTAAATGGTGTTGAGTTACTTAGTGAAGATGCCAAGCTTCACAAATCTTCAATCGCAAATTATTCAACCGGTAGATATTTTTTTAAGTCCTTTGATCATTTATATTTATTGTTAATGTTCTCGTTATTGTTTTAGTTTTTATAAGTTAAAAAATTTTATCATGATTTTATTTTTAGACTAAATTTTAACAGTCTTTTAATAATATTATTATTATTCTTATTAGAACACTTTGAAAATTATTTTACATCTGACGAAGTTCATTTGAATATTTCTGAACCATACGTTAAAGATCACGTGAAAAATGGTAAGAAGACTTACAATGATTTTTCTGTAATATTTTCAAAAGATACAGAGAAATCCGAAAAAATTAATCTGCTGTCAGAAAATTTCGAAAAAGTCAGTCTTCTATCAGAAAAACACTTTGACACCCCCAGTCAAAATCTAATGCTGAAACCAATTGAAAGAAGTAGTCTAATTGAGGAGGAAACACATATATAATCTTAATGAGATGAATATATATATATATATATATATATATATATATATATATATATATATATATATATATATATATATATATATATATATATATATATAATGAGATATAATGTGATAAATATGTTTATAAAAAATAACAAATAGCTATTAATTATTTTTATTAACAAAAACATTTTGCTTATGGTTTACGGTTTGTATTACGCTCAATAAGAATTCCTATGAAAAGTCTCCACTAATAGTCTCAATTATTATTACAGTAATATGTTAAATTATAATTAAATGTGTGAATAAAGTTGATACAAAACTAATTAAATTAGGATATAAAAAGCAATTAAAATCACTAATTAGCAAATTTATAATAATCTAAACAATAATACGGTACTTAACAGTGCGCAATTTGTGTTTTTTTTTGAAGCTGAGCACTCAAAACAAACTCAAGCCGCACGAAAAAATCGCTGATAGTAAATGGATGACAAAATAATTACGGAAACCATTTGATGCTTCATAATATCAATTTTTTGTAATATGTTGTTATATTTATCTTACTAGTTTTTATTTATTATTGTTATGTTTATGGTGAGAAATTTAAGTGATATTGGTAAGTTTATAGTGATATTGGAAAAAATTGTTGCTAACCGATATCACTATGATATTGATATCATTATTATGAGTTCTATCTGATGTCACTATCATAAGTTCTATTTGATGTCACTATCATGAGGTCTATCTGATGTCACTATCAGATGGCCGATGTTTTTGATAACAAAAAGTAAACAAAAAGTAATCAAAATAGAATATTAACTACATACATTAAATAGAGATAGTAATCAAGAAAAATAAATAGATAATAAATATTGAGTACGTAAATCAATATGGTCAACGTTCGAAAAGGAGAATTTGATACGTTCAAAGAAGAGACTAACAAAAAGATTCTAGCACTGGAAGATCTGGTAAAAAAATTACTATCTAAAAATCTTGACTTAGAAAAGCAATTGAAGTTCTTAGAAGATAATCAAGCTCAAATTATTAGCAAAAATAATCAAATTAACAGCAAACCACTTTTTAGTAGCTTGTTTCATAACAAATCTCTTGAACCAGAAGAAACAAGAATACTAACCGCGATTTCAGCTGAAAATTAAGAAAAATCTAGAAGAGAATACAATTTGGTTCTACACGGTCTTGATGAATTAAATAAATCAACTGAAGAAAATATACAACATGAAAACGAGCAAATAAAAAAGATCTTTAATTACCTAAAGGTCGATGAATCATTTATTAAACGACACCACCGCCTAAAATCAAAAACCGACAAACCTGGTATTGTAATAGTAGAATTAAATAATAAAGAAAAAGTTGCAGACATTTTAAATTCAGCAAGCAATTTGAAATATAATGTCGAATATAAAAATAAAGTATATATAAATCAGGATTTAACATTTGCACAACGTGAAAGCAGAAAATTGCTTCTAAAAGAAAGAGATCGTTTAAATAATGCTGATAATAACCAGCCCTTTCGGTATATTGTCAAAAATGAGTCAATTGTCAAAGTCAAGAAAAGTGAAAAAACTAAAAATTGATTCATTATCTAGTGTAAATAAAAACAAATCTGACATTATTTTCCCATTCAATAAAAAGTCTAACTATCTTAAGTTTTAGTATACAAATTCTACGTCTTTAGTAAATAAAATAACAGAGTTTGAAACAAAAATTATGATCGACTCACCAGATATCATACTTATTTCTGAAACATGGTTCAAAAATGACTTAATTATAAATATTAGAAACTACAACTGCTTTTACAATAATAGAACAAACAAACAAGGTGGAGGTGTTGCAATTTTTACAAAATATGATATAATTGCTTATGAAGTATCAGTTTCACCTTTATATAAAGAAGTTGAACAAATATGGTGTAGCATTGTACTTCATAAAACAAAAATATTAGTTGCATGTATATACAGACCACCAAACAGTACTGACCTAATAAATAATGCAATTAATGAATTAATAAAAACTGCAAAAAAGGAAGTAATGAATGGAAAATACTCAAATGTAATAATTGTTGGTGATTTTAATTACCCAAATATTATTTGGAATGAAGACGGAACTATCGAGCTAAAGCAAAACTGCCAAACAAGCAGAGCATTTATTAATAACTTGCAAAACAATTATTTACATCAAGTAGTTAACAAGCCAACTTTTCAAATGGCTGTTGATAAACCAGCAAATATATTAGATTTAATAATATGCGACGATCTAGATTTAATAATTAACATTGAATATGATGCTCCACTTGGTCAAATTACTAAAAGCCATTACATATTAAAATGGGAAATTAACATACTCAATTCATATGAGAAAAAATTCAACAATAAGAGATTTAATTTTCGAAACGGAAAGTACAAAGAAATGAATCTTATGTTTTATAAAGTAAATTGGGTTGAAATCTTTGACAAAATGAATACAAATCAATGTTATGAATACTTTTTAAAAATTTATGAAAAAGCTTGCAAACAATTTATTCCTCGCCACTTTAAACCCACTAGTTCTATCAAAAATCCATGCATTAATTAAAAAATCAAGAATCTAGTTAGAAAAAAACGTAGTTTATGGTGCAGAGTTCGTGCTACAAACTTCAAGAACACAAACTTAAATAATGAATACAAACTTATCAACAAAACAATTAAAAAACAAATTAAAAAATCTACTTTTGATTATGAAATAAACTTAGCAAAAGATGTAAAACATAATCCAAAACGCTTCTATGCATATGCACAAAGAAAAAACCAGACACATACAAAATTGCTAGCACTTAAAACTAGTGACAACAAAATAATAACTGATAAAAAAGTAGTTGCTAATCTACTAAATTGTAGTTTCCAATCAGTATTTGTCAAAGAAAATCAAGATTTACCATATTTCAGCAATAAAACTAGTCATTTATTTGAATGTGACTGGGACCAAGAACTAAAAGAAGATATTATATTTAATTATTTATTAGAACTTAATGAAAACAAGTCACTTGGTTGTGATAACATCAGTCCCTACGTGCTAAAGCATTGTGCAGAAGGATTATCCAAACCTTTGTCTTTAATATTCAAGAAATCGATACATTCAGGAAAGCTGCCAGAATTATGGAAATCTGCAAACATTACACCACTTTTTAAAAAAGGAGACAAGAAAGATCCACTCAACTACAGACCTATCTCCTTAACATCGATACCAAGTAAGATAATAGAGAAAATAATTAGAAAAAAACTGATAATTTATATAACAGAAAACAATCTGTTAACGTCTCAACAACATGGATTTATACAAAATAAAGGGTGCCTAACAAACCTATTAGAAACTTTCGATATTATTACAACTGAAATTGAAAATGGTTATCCAGTTGATATATTGTTCCTAGATTTTGCAAAGGCGTTCGATAAGGTGCCCCACTATCGACTTATACATAAAATTTCTAACTATGGAATTAAAGGCAATATTTTAAATTGGATTGATTCTTTTTTAAAAAACAGAAAACAAAGAGTGGTAATGGGTGAAGTTGTATCAGATTGGTGCGAGGTTTATAGTGGTGTACCACAGGGCTCTGTATTAGGTCCTCTTCTTTTTCTGTTATATATCAATGATCTTCCCCAATGTATCTCTTCAATCGCAAAATTATACGCTGATGATACTAAAATCATATCTGTTATAAAAGAACATAATGATCTAGCTAATATGCAAAATGACATTGATTTGTTAACTGAATGGTCAAATGTATGGTTAATGGACTTTAACATAAATAAATGCAGTGTTATGCACATTGGAAGAAAAAATATTAACTATAACTACACTATAAAGCACGACAATCAAAGTTTTCTTCTAAAAACAACAACAAAAGAACTAGACTTGGGTGTAATAGTTTCATCCAATATGAAATTGAATCATCAGGTTCAAGTAGCTACAAGTAAAGCACAAAGAATCTTATGTTTAATAAGAAAAAGCTTTACTTATCTTAACACTGAAATGGTAAGGCAACTATACACATCGTTGGTTAGACCACACTTGGAATTCGCAGCTCCAGTGTGGAGTCCAAGTAATAAAAACAATATCAATGACCTAGAAAAAATTCAAAGGCGAGCAACAAAGCTAGCCCCTGAACTAAAACATCTAAGTTATACCGAAAGATTGACAAAGTTGGGCCTCACAACTCTGGAAACAAGACGTATAAGAGGAGATCTCATTGCTTTCTTTAAATTAACAACTGGGATTGATAAGATATTATGGTATAAAGAGCCTAATAAAGCTTCTTCCCAGAGACTTCGAGGTCATCCAATGAAATTTGAAAGAGAATTTGCAAAAACAACACCGAGACATAATTTTTTTACGAACAGAGTGATACCTCATTGGAATGCTTTACCTGAAAAAGTGGTTTCTGCAATGACAGTAAATTCTTTTAAAGCTAGACTAGATAAACATTTGTTAACGGCTGTTAAAGTATAAATTTTAAACTTTATACTCCGCGACAATCGTCGTTACAGCAATTTGTATTACTATTACTATTACTATCATGAGGTCTATCTGATGTCACTATCACGAGTTCTCTCTGAAGTCACTATCATGAGTTCTATCTGATGTCATTATCATGAGTTCTATCTGATGTCACTATCATGAGTTCTATCTGATATCACTATCATAAGTTCTATCTGATATCACTATCATAAGTTCTATCTGATATCGCTATCATAAGTTCTATCTGATATCGCTATCATGAGTTCTATCTGATGTCACTATCATGAGTTCTATCTGATATCACTATCATGAGTTCTATCTGAAATCACTATCATGAGTTCTATCTGAAATCACTATCATGAGTTCTATCTGATATCACTATCTGATTTTATTTGATCGAATTTTTAATCATCTCTCTGAAAATAATATACTTTACAACAATGAGTACGGTTTCAAAAAAAATAACACTACAGAACACGCAGTACTTCAACTCACAAGAATTATTACTGACTCCTTCAAAAAATCACAATTTACTTTAGGTATTTTTATAGACCTAAAGCTTTTGATACTATTGATCACGGCGTTCTCATAAATAAATTAGAACATTATGGTATCACTGGTAAAGTCTTAATGTTATTAAAAAGTTACTTAAATAATCGTAAACAATTAATGCATATTGATACACACTCAAAAACTACTGCTTTAGATATATCCTGTGGAGTCTCTCAGGGTTCCATACTTGGACCACTGTTATTTCTAATTTATATTAATGACCTCTATAAAACTTCTAATTTAATGACAATAATGTTTGCTGACGATACTAATCTTTTCTTATCCCGAAATAACATCAATAACTTATTTAATGACATGAATGTAGAACTAAAAAAGATATCTATATAAGCGATGTTCTTGGGTCAGCTAGGTTGGCATTATCAGGATAATGTAAATAATAACATAAATATATAAAAAAGTAAATTAATGCTTTTTCGTATCAACATCCTTTTAAAAGCTGTACGAGGCTCTTACAGATTGAAAACAAGTTATACTGACCTGGAGAAAAGACAAAAAATAGTATATACTCCAACACTCCACTAAACAGCACTATTTTAAAACATGTCAAAAAAATAATAAGTTTTAAGGTGACTAATTTATCACAGTGTTATAAAATAGGTTCTAACCTTAACTTTCTGACCCGGGAAAACCCTTTGGCGGAATGATAGCCCTTACTATGGGGATCACTTAGATATAAGTATCAAAATCAGATTACAACGTCCTGGCAAGTTATTTACATTTGAATTTTCATCCTAGTTAACACAAAACGTGTTTTAAACGTTTAATATACGTATTGATACGTATTAAAACGTATTATAAACGTGTTAAACACGTCTTGCGTTTAATAAAATATTTTATTGATTGCACAAATATGCAATATGAGCGCTTATTTTCCTTTTTGTAGTATTAAAAATCTCCAATTTACATAAATATAAACAAGGAAAGCAAAATAATATATTTTTATATATTATTTTTATATATAATATATTTTTATAATATATTTGCAATTCCATGGGAGGAAGAAAATTCAAAACCAAAGTGTCTCCAGGTAGTTTAAATATTGGAGAATGAACAACATTTTTATAGTCACGAGCTTTTCTAATATTGGAACCAGCTGACTTGAAGAGTGAGACATTTTTTTCCAGAGATTCAAAAGTCCTCAATTTCCCTTGATTTACAAGTTCTTTTGAACCAGATTCACACCAGGTGCAGGGATGTGCACTTGAGTGTGCTTGAAGCCCACAAATTATATTAGCAAGTTTTAGATCACAGGACATGACAAACTCCTGGTCTTTCAATTTAATCAACTCAAATACTTGCAAAACGTTAGTATAACTTTCTTGAAGCTCCTCACAGACAGCAATGACTAGTTGTTGTTTTACACCAGTGTCCTTAAAAACCTTGCTTGTGCAGTTGATTTTTGCTGGGGGAATGCAAGGTTCATGATTTAATTCAATAATTCCCAGGGTAACTTTCAGAAACCCACCTCCTCCGTCAATTCCAACCTTTACAATGTGATTTTTTGATGTACTTCTCATGGCTATAATTTCATTTTTAAGCTCATGGAAGTTCTTGCAATGTATGACTGTCCTCACACATCCAGCGTGATCTTGAATTAATGAACTTGTGAAATGATGTACAAGTTGCTTGCTGAATTTGTCAAATTTTATGGCGTAATTTTTTTCAACAATCTGTTGTGAGGTTGACTGATTAATAGTAGCTGCTAACCTCTTAATGCCATTGTTTGAAAGCCCTGTGTTTGCTTGAACTTTAGCAAGGTCTTTTACACTTATTGATGAATTTGAAGAGAAAAGTTGTCTAGCTGATGACGAACCTATAGTGAATACAAAAAGTTAAAAATTTAACTTATCATTAATTTGAACTATAAAAAACTATATAAAATTTATACTTGGTGTTACTGGAAGCATTCTTCCACCATAAAGTTGACTTAATCGAACAGTTCCATGTGGAGAAGGAGCTTTATTTGAAACAACAAGAGCTGCAATTCTTTCTGATGCCAAAGGATCCTTTGTTACTACAGCAACAAGATTATTTCTCAAAGTGCCTTTTGTGCAGTTGTGAGGCAATCCTCGACCAATAATTGAAAAACAGTCTGAGCATCTTTTTTCTACTGTTAAAGAAGGTGTTCTAGTTGCTGAACTTTGTGCGAATTCAATTTTCATTTGACCATTGTGTCTCAGTTTACCAATTGAACAGATCAAGCAGTTACAGTGAGAGTCTCGAGTTTCTGGTCGAAGTTTTATAGTCTCAAACTTATACAATGATGGGAGTGTGATGTCTTCTCCACTTTCCTTCCTTCTTAAACAAGAGCGACATTTTTCACATATTCCAAGTGGAACTTTGTCATCATTAAAGTTGATTTTCTCTTTCAGTATAATCTGACATCTTTCTTTTAGATTTGATGTTAGCTTTCGTTGACTTTTACTAAAACAAAGAAAACAAACAGATTTCCTGCATTCTTGGTGGTTTTTAGCAGTATTTGGCATTTTCGGTAAAATTAGATGTGCTCAGTTTAGCTCTCATTAGTAAAGTAAAAACAACGTGCTTTTACCCAGAATTCAAAAGTAGAAATTTATTCCAAAATAATTTATGTCATAATTAAATACGTTTCATATCAATTAAAGCAGTTTTTACAAACTAATCATAGTTTTGGTATGTAGAAATGCAAAATAAGCTGTCATTCCGCATGTTTGTGCAATCAATATATTTTATGTTTGTTACTTGTATAACTTCAAGAATATATTATTTTGCTTTCCTTGTTTATATTTATGTAAATTGGAGATTTTTAATACTACAAAAAGGAAAATAAGCGCTCATATTGCATATTTGTGCAATCAATAAAATATTTTATTAAACGCAAGACGTGTTTAACACGTTTATAATACGTTTTAATACGTATCAATACGTATATTAAACGTTTAAAACACGTTTTGTGTTAACTAGGATGAAAATTCAAATGTAAATAACTTGCCAGGACGTTGTAATCTGATTTTGATACTTATATCTAAGTGATCCCCATAGTAAGGGCTATCATTCCGCCAAAGGGTTTTCCCGGGTCAGAAAGTTAAGGTTAGAACCTATTTTATAACACTGTGTTATCTCATCTAACGGGGTAAAATAAGACAGAGCAAAGAATAAACTATAGAGCTTTTTAAAAGCGTCTATTGCTAATTCCATTAATTGAAAATCGTGATGTTCACAAATTATCTTGCATAATAATTTTTAAACTTGATAAAAATATATAAATCTTTTAAAATTGTTTTTGTCTGAAGTTTGATACTTATCTTTAAGTATATATTTTTTTGGGTAAGCCAATATGCGGACTTTTCGAAATAATAGAAAAGATTAATGGATTGTCTCAATCTTTCCCCAAGAAATATGTTTTAAAACATGAAATTTTCAAAATTTTATTATTCGGAAGAAAATTTAAACTAAAAAACAGATTAAAACTAAATAACAGATTAAAAAAAAATTGTTCTATTATTATTATTAACCTTCGGCTTTTTTTATGCTTTTTACTATACTTTAGCTAGGAATTGTTTTTGCAAATAATCTCATTTAAAGCTTTTTTTTCCTTCGTATTGTCAATAAAAAATTGCTTAACTTTCATTGAATCTATGAAAAATTCTGAAAAAATAGCAATTTCAGTTTTCTAATTCAATGTGCAAATTAAAATACTTCATATGATCAAAAATCACTCTAACTGAAATCAGAGGTGATTAAAAAACATGTGTCATCATTCCCGCTGTCTAATTTTAACCCATATTATCCACTACACTACAATACAATCTGCTTATACTTCATAAATTTGCAGCGTGAAGGGCGCTCAGTGTCTGAATAGAAGTTTGATAAGGGAGTTTACAGTTACTTGTTTAAAATCGTTTAAAAGAATTGAGTACCTAAATGTTTTAATTGTTCTATTGTCATTTTTTGTTGTTTTTAATTTATAAAACTTAAATAAAAGCAACTTGCTACTTTTTTTATCATCAATTATATATGAGCATCCGCGGTTCAAAACCACAGATCCTGTGTTTCTGAGGCAAGTACACTACTACTGCGCCACGGCTGCTCGATAATATCGATAAATTATCGATACAATCAATATTGATTCAAATCAAAATTTAACATATAAATTGATGATAAAAAAAGTAGCACGTTGCTTTTATTTAAGTTTTATATCGTTATAAATTAAGTACAACAAAAAATGACGTTAGAACAATTAAAACATTTAGGTACTCAAGTCTTTTAAACGATTTTAGATTTCAAAGGTTTAAAAGTATTGAGTAACTGTAAACTCCCTTATCAAACTTCTATTCAGACACTGAGCGCCCTTCACGTCAATTGCAAACGATTGCAATCGTCATCAGACGTGACGTCAATATTTATATAAAAGTTACGAAACCAGCAATAGTTTTAAGACGATTCAAAAATTTGCTTCATTAACTACTTAGACAAGTTTTATTAGCCTCGGTTTCGTAAGAGGCATCATATTAGTCTCGGTTTATTAAGAAAAACCATAATTCATGACGCTCTAAAAGCATCTATTGTTTACAATCTAAAGTTTTTTAAAACTTTAATCCTTAACTAGACTCTAAGATTTTTATCTGGTACAAAAAGCAGCAAAAAAGTAATTTTATAAAACTCGTTAAATCAAAACAGGTATCAGAAAAAATTTAAGAAACATAAATTATTATTTTGCAAGTTTTCCAAGCATAAAAAACATTCATATAAAGCATTAAAAACATTTATATTATAACATATTTGCTTTATTTTCATTATATTAACAAAATATGCTTTTGCATCGTGTAAGCAAATTTATTCTTTTGAACTTCAAGATGCAAAAAATTTTAACTCATTTTTTTTTCAGTGTAAGTAAAGAATAAAAACTCAAAAAATCTCCAAAAACATATATCAAAAACAGAGTATTGTAAAAATACAATTTTTTTTTTCAAAAATAAATAAAATAACAAGTATTTAAAATAAAAAGTATAAGAAGAAATGTAAGAAAAAGTTTGTAACAATTATAAATCTGTTGCTTATAAAGTTCTAACAAAAAGCATTCATGATTCTCATTATTTTGAAAAGTAAACATTTTTACAAACCTTTTAAGCAAAATGAGTTTATTTGTTAGTCTCAGGTCAGGTTTTTACTTTGTGTGTAGTGTCAGTTGTGCATACCTTGGACAAGTTTAGACTAAACAATAAAATAAATGTCTAACAATTTTAATGTTATTGTCTACTTTTTGCATCTCTTTATTATAAATGGGAAGTCTGTTAAATGATTTACTTTTTCTTATATATATATATATATATATATATATATATATATATATATATATATATATATATATATATATATATATATATATATATATATATATATATATATATATATATATATATATATATATATATATATATATATATATATATATATAAACACACACTTCCATATATACAATTCTGCTCAATGAGATCATGAATAAATCATAGAGATTAAGATATATTTTAATATACTCGAACTACTATTTAATAATAAAATGAAATAGTATGAGAAAACTCTTAGAAGATTAAAAAAAATTATATTGTTATGAACCTTTCTGTTATAAAATTTTGAAGTTAAATATAAACTCATAATGTAAATTTTTTTATGTCTAATATATATTATACATCGTAGGTGACGTATAAATTTCTGATATATACCCGAGCAGCAAACAATATTGGCGAGATATTGAATATCAATATTGGCTGAGATATGCGATATTATTTGCAAGCTATATAGCGCCAAGATTGGTATACCAATATTGTTAGCCAATGTTGTGTCAATATTGGCATGCCAATATTGACGCATTTTTGGTATACTAAGTAGGCCATATATATATTAGAGGAAAATTGTTTATTTTGGCGAAATATTATAATATTATTATTACCCTAATATTGGCCAGTATTGATGTTTTTACATATTTGTATGCATGCAACTCTATCAACTATTAATAATGTACTTCAGATTATATTTTAAAGTTATAAAGGTTTGACAGTTACATATTTATATACAAAAAGATATATATATATATATATATATATATATATATATATATATATATATATATATATATATATATATATAAAATAGTGTATGATAGCGTATGTACTGCCAAATTTGGACTTAGTATGGACTTAGTATATTTCCCTTGTATACCGACAATATTTTATCAGTAAAAAGAATAGTTTTTTTATACTTATTTTAAAAAACGGAAAACAAGATTGACAAATCAAAAGGTAAAACAATTTTTTTCGATAGATGAGGTGCTCGATAGTTGATACAAAATTAATTGACTATTGTCTCAAGAGGGACGGGGCGGGGGAGGTGCGAATGGAAAATTTCTGTTTTTCCATTTAAATTCTGATTCTGGCTGTCTTAACTCCCTTTAACTGAAGTTTCATCCCACTCCAACTTTTTTGACTTTCCTTCGCTACTGGTAGTACCTACAACTTCTTTCAGAAATTGCTGATAAAGTTTTAGGTCTCTGGATCTATTATTGTAAAAAATCAAGGGTTCTTCAATTTAAATATAATCACTTGAACCTGATATCTTTTTTTATTATTGTTTCATTTTATATTTCGATGTTAAAATAAATTACAGATGAGTTTTACATCGTAAATATCAACAAATAAAATATTTTTCAACCAGGAAAGTACTCAAAGAAGATATGGAATATCACCTCCATCTTTTCATAGAACTTAATTTAATAAAATTATTGACAAAAAGAGTTATAAAAATCCATTAAAAACATAAAAGTAATAAAATAAAATAAACTGAAGATAAAATAAGAAAGCGAATTATTTTTACAATTACAAAGATATTTTGCAATAGCTATATTGCAAATTGTGTATTCAAAGCGGGAGGCTGCATAAGCGCGAATATGTGCGCACTGGCATAAGTGCGAAGCGTTGCAAAAACATGCATAAGTGCAAACTGGCATATGTGAGAATTCGCCAAAAGATTTTGCAAAGATTGGCATAATTACGAATTGGCATAAGTGTACCAAATAAAGTTTCGAATATTGGCATAAGTGCAAAATAGTATTTCGCAGTTATGCCTATTCGCACTTATGCCAATGTTTGCAAATTTATTCGGTGCATTTATGCCAATTTGCCCTTATGGCAGTTCGCACTTGTGCCAGTTTTGTATCTGCTTCACACTTAGGCCAATTCGCACTTGTGCCATTTCGCACTTATGCCAATGTTTGTAAATTTATTTGGCGCACCAATGCCAAATGCACTTATGCCAGTTCGCACTTGTGCCAGTTTTTGTAACTGTTTCGCATTTATGCCAATTCGCACTTATGCCAATTCGCACTTATGCCAGTTCACACTTATAAAATTCGCGCTTATTCAGTCGTCCCATTCAAAGATTTAGAAATAAATTCAAATATATCCACAAAGATTTAATAATTAATACATTAAAAGACATAAAGTACATAATACATTAAATTAAAATATATAGTTAGTAACTAGTAAGAATAACAAGTAAAGTTCATATGAATAGATTTACAAAACCTTTTTGGAATTATTATTCCGCAAAATTAAAAATGTGTTCTTTCGCTTGAAACTAAAATATGTTTAATGATTTTACAATATTTGCATTATTTTTTCAAAAGACTTCTAAAAATCAAGTGCTCGATATGCCATTAAATATTCTCTATATTTATTTAATTTCCTTGGCATTTTGAAGGAATTTGATTGATTTGTTCTTAAGAAATATTTTTCATTTACACTTTTCTCAAACTTACAAATAAAATTAGCTGGAGTTAGGTGAGTTAGGAGTTAGGTTATTGAGCAGCCGTGGCGCAGTGGTAGTGCACTTGCCTCAGAAACAAAGGATCCGTGGTTCAAACCCCATCTCTGGGCAAGTTTTGCGACATCGGTTAAATGCTCATCCGCGGTGCTCTGTGATAAGACCGTAAGGACTTCTTGGAGCACCTAAATAAAATTAGAAGAAAAAAAAAAAAAATTAGGTGCTGATAAAAACTTATTTCGTATACATTCATCATTTTCATATTTCTCATTAAGGATTTAGAATGCTCGCTTCATTTTTTTCCGTAAATAATTCTACACGCATGTTTTTGCAAACTAAATATTTTTTAAGTTTTGTTGGTTGTGTACTACCCTCTGTAGTATTAGCATAGTTAATGAAATAATAAATTAAAGAAAAGTGTATTAACTTTAGACAAACTATGTTTGCATATGGAGGAACTTGGTACATCAGGTCAATGGTTTTACTAACTTTTGATTATAAATATTTAATATGGGGAAGCCAAGATAAACTTTTGTCAACAAGTATTCCTAAAAACTTTATTTAGTCTTGCTTTTTTATTTTTATGTTGTTTAAAAATAGGTCTGGTAATTTAAAGAGAAGATTTTCTTGTTTTTTCAACATCTAATGAGAGTTTATTCGCCATAATCTAGTCATTTATCTTATTCAAAATTCATGTCTGCATAAATTTGTTTGATACTATTGTTGGAAAGTAATAGGTCCGTATCATCTGCAAACATAGTTGGTTTAAACTTTTCTGATGGCTTATTTAAGTCATTTACATAAACTAAGAATAAGAGAGGACAAAGTATAGATCCTTGCGGTACTCCAAACGGGGTTTTTAATATTCCGTATTCTTGATTTAGAACATTTTGTTTTCTTTCAGTGAAGTAACTTTAATCCAATAGTAGACCTTATTAGTTACTTCATAATGCTTTAATATCTTAAAAATTTTTTTTAAGTCTTGTTCTCCTTTCTTGTAACGAAGGTAGACCTACGAGAATAGTACTATTCACCTCTCTTTATAAAGCATCTTTATCAGTAATTTAATTCTAATGGTATAAAATTTTAATTAATTTAAATCAATTACTTTAAAAAATAAAATTGTGCATTTCAATTTATGCATTTCAATGAATTAGCAAACAAAATTTTTAAAATAAGTTTTATAAAGCACCTGATAATATTCTAAAAATTAGACGATCTTCTAATTTAAAATTTTATTATACAATTTATAGTTGGGGATTTCAATAAGAGTTGCTTTCACTATTCTATGGACGTTTAAGAATTGTTAAGAAAGTCTAAACTTACTTAACAATTTATGTTTAAAAAAAATTTATTTTTTATGATCTTAACAAAAAATATGAAACTTGAAAACAATGGATTGAGAACAATGGATTGAGAACAATGGAGACCTTCTTTTATTGTTGTTAAAGTTTTTTTCTGATCACCAATGTCAAGATTTATTCCTTTTATTATTTTCATAATTCTTGGAAATTTATACCTTCCTTTAACTCATTGATATCTTTTTCCATTTTCTTTATATTTATTGCGTTTCTTTTTTATCAAATCTATCTGTTATTAGTTTCTTGTTGATAGATGCTATTTTTGAAAAATTAATTTCTTTAAGAAATCGTTCAGTTCTTTTGAAATAAACACTTTATGATTTTCGAGCATTTTTTCATAGACTTTTCGATATTTTTAATGAATACTTTGATAGTTAAAAATTTATATGAAACTATTATATATGCACCAGTATTACATGGGCAGAGAACCATGCTATATTAGCGTAATACATGCAATCTTTGGCAAATGCTTATGCAAAAGGTTATTTAACCATGATTTCACCTTCTAACAAACTAATATTTAATAACAGGTACTTATTACCTCATTTGATGGAAAAATAATTATAACCTTACCTTGTGTAGCTTCTATTTCTAATCGTAACCATTTTTGTTAATCTTTTGTTAAACTTTTCCACAAAAAAAAACTCTTTTTAGAAAAAATGTCTTTTTATCAACGCAATCAAAATCAATGCAAAAAGGTCTGACGCAAAGCGCTATTATTCTCAAATAACTTAAACTTATATTTTATCTCAGAAGTTTTTTTCTAAAAAGTTTTGAAAAATATTTACAAGTGTCATTAAAGTAAGCCATGAGTTACATTTAATCTGTAATACATGATTCTGATCTTTTACCTCTCCTAAATTAAGGCAGAACTATTTGCAAAGAACTTTTTTTCTTATTTGAATCTAATGATCACACCTTTCTTGTCAACCAAGAGAAACAAGTTGATTTGTTGTTTGACATTGAAATTGTTCCAACTGTTGCCAAAGTTATTCCTCTTTTAATATATTCTATTGCTTATGGTCCAAAAAACATTCTTGTCATGGTCATACAATGTCATGGTCATACCATGTGTACTCCAGAACTATTTTCAATTTTTAAAAAGCTCAGAAGTACACTTGAGCTCTGTAATTATCGCCTTTTATACTTTGAGATAAAGATATCTTGAAACTGTTTGTTATGTTGGTGTAATATTTTGAAATAATTATTTAGAAATAAACAAAAATGGTTGATGCTTATAACTAAAATGTTATTGTTAGATTTATTTGCATTGGCGGTGGAGTGTTTGTTATGATACAAAAGGTTTCCATTGCAACATAAATTTTTTTATCTTTTAAAGAGTTACTAAATATTAGCTGGGGAAAGCCAAGCAACCCTCAGAAATTAAGGTCAGACATTGTTTTAATACTAAATAATAAATACTTTGGAATCTACATTAGTTTGAAATCACAAAAAATCGAAATGCTTTATTAAGCATATAGGTATGTTAAAAAAACGTTTTTTTATAATATATATATATATATATATATACTTTTTTTTTTTTGCTATTTTTACTTAAGCAAAATAGCAAGCATAAAAATGTTTAGATGCAATAAATGACTCATAGTTGGCAAAAATTATTATTTGTTGTATATTTTTTTTAAGTTCTATTTACAAAGTTTTTATACAACACTTGTTGACACAAGTGTCTGCGTCATCTGCGTCATTAATGAATTAAATTAATAGAAAAATGACGCAGACACTTGTTGACACAAGTGTCTGCGTCATTAATGAATTAAATTAAAAGAGTTTAAAGATTTTCAATCAATAAATCAACACTTTTATTATAAGAAATTTTGGTGGTTTTTTCTCTTCCGGCTAATTTCCATACAGAGGCTATATTACCAAAATCCGCAAAGTTTAGCTCACTAAAAAGAATCACAATCTGCTTCGCAGACCAAGAATGATTTTGGAAAGAACAAAGGAATTGTAGAGCGAAAGATGTTTATTTTTTATTAACTATTGGGTAGGTATCCATAGCAACCAAATATAAAAACTATTGGGTACGTGCAAAAAGAGTTTTTTGCTTTTTTAATATTTATTAATGATTAATAAGTAAATAAAACTTACTCAAATATATATACTCCATTATTGTCTGTGATTGTTTGCTAATATGTATACGAAGAATGGATCCCTATTAACTGAATAAAATAGAACAAACTCTTAGGGCTTGGAGGAAAAAATTTACTCAGATATGCTTTGAGTTTGGTGCCGTTTTAAAAAACGTTACCTCATAGATGATTGTTCAACGAAAAAATCATGTGATAACCATATATAAAGTTAAATCATACTTTAAAAATAATTTAAAAAATCGCTTTGGGAAGAAATTATTATTTTTACGTTATGCAAGTTTAAGACATTTAATATTTTATGTCGCATGCACAAAAGTAAATTTTAACAATGTCTCTTAATTTTTCATGAACTTTATAAAATAAAACCTAAATTTGAATATATTTAAAAATATATATTTTATTTTATTTATACAATATTAAATAAGAAAAGTTCAAAATATCGTGTAAAAATTTATAAGGTTTTATAAGCGATTTATATTTTTAAAACATTTAATATTTAACAAAACAAATTTATGCCCAGGTATTAAAATATGTAGGACATTATAATTTTTTTTTCTTTTATATACAAATCAAAATCTTAATAAATAATATTTTTCTTTCTTTATTTAACACAACTTTGAAAATTTTTTCTTCGGTTTATTTTATTCTGTGTTTATTTCAATTTTAATTTTTAAAACACTTTTGAAATTCAGTGTTGTAAAGACACGAACAATATATGAATAATACACAGCAGGTTTTAACGATTAAACCTAAGTATTTTCCTTATATTACCGTGTTGCTTCTTTTTAAATCTTTTTATTTTGTTTACTTAATAACTACGTAAATGTAAGGGCTGTGGCAAAGTTTTATTAGTACAAATCATTGCGTAATTGTTTGTAAATCGAATATAATAATCAGTTCATTCAAATTCAGTTCTCGTATTAAAAAAAATATGGACATTAATTACATAAGTTTATTCTTAAAAAAGAAAACTTAAGAACTATCTCTACTCCGTGTTTCTAAAGTTCATTGACATTTTTATAGTTTGTTATTATTTTTTAAAGTTGGTCAATATTTACAAATGTTAGTTACTCTTACAGTGGTTGTAAATTTTTTCTTACAGTGGTTGTGAATTTTTGCACTAAAAAATACTTTACTGAATTAGTGTTACATTTGAAGTAACTTTAGATTACAAAAATGCTGCAAAGTTTGATAATTTAGGTCTACAAAGCAAAGTTGGTTTTTCCAATAAATAATTATGTTGATAGTTGAAGAAGAAGTGAAAATTTTAGTTAGGGAAGACTAACAGTTTTATGTAAAACTTTGCTCAACCGTAAGCCTCGGTTGCTTTAAGATAAGCCTCGGTTGCTTCACGGAAAGCCTCGGTAAGTAATCTAAATCTTGACAAAGTTCACTAGGATTTCAAACTGGTACTCAAATAACTACCATACCCAACCTTACATAATGTCCATATACTACATTCAGAGGCAATTCTATTGAATAAAAAGAGGGGGGGGGGGTTAAGCCTCAAAAAGTACCGACTAGCTTCTATGTCTATCTTATATGACATAAGATACACATAATGTTAGATAGATAGGATAAACTTAGTCACAGCTAAAATTAGTTAATGTGTGTACGCTCACCTTGCCTATTCATAAATAATTCTTTTTTTTTAATCTAATATGATTTCTTTATTAGAATATGCAAAGACAGCTTTTTTGTTAAGTATATATATAAGTATATATATAATATATGATAAAGGAAACAACGTTGTATGACGTAATGCTTGTATGAAACTAATGACGTAATGTATTAAAAGTTTTCGAAATAATTGCTCCTGCTTAAAATAATCGTTAAAGTTTTTGTTTCAACATTTAAAATGGAATTTTAACTAATAATTTGTTAACTTAATAAATAAAAAAAGGTTAAAACAAAAAAAAGGAAACAATAACTTTTACTTTTTATACCCTTTTATAATTAAACAATCAATGAAACAAACGAGGTCTTTTCGGCAAGGTTATCAACAGAGTGAAAGCAAATCATTTTGAAGAAGGAGAGATTTTCTTAAAAAAACTTCAACTTAAACATAAGAATAGAGTGATCTTGATATGTAAGTTGTAAGTTACTTCATTTACCCGATTTTAGAAAGCCATCCGTTTGTCTTAAACAAAACTTTTATAATGTTATTTTAAAATAAAAAAATGTCGATACGGAAACCATCTACACCATACAAATGTTTAATTGAAACGTTTAATTTAAACAAAAAATGTTTGCTGACAAAATCAATTTTAACCGCCTCCGCTTGTATGTTAAAGTTAATTAAACAAAAGCACTACATCACATATGCGATTTGATCTGATAGAAAAACTGGATTCAAATAAAAATATTTGCGTAAAAATAAAAACATTTGTTATAAAACTAATTTTATATATCTATACATTGTCAAATTGTAATAAAATATAAACTCGGACTCAAGCTTAAGTTTAAGAAGATTGTTGAACTTACGAAGAGTCCGATTTTAGATTTTATTACAATTTGACTTATGTATAGATATATAAAATTAGTTTTATAATAAATGTTTTTATTTTTACCCAAATATTTTTATTTTTCGGTTTATTATTCAGTTTTCTCAAAAAAAAAAAAATTATTATTTGTAACAAGGTTCTGGAAATTCTTTGTAGAATAAAAAATAACTTACCTGTAAATTAGCTTGCTAAACATTATTTCATTTTTTTTTTTTTCATATAGATCTACATAAAAATTATATAGATCTATATAATTTTCATATAGATCATATAGATCTATATGAAAATTAAAAAAAAAAAAAAAAAAATGAAATAATGTTTAGCAAGCTATTTTACAGGTAAGTTTGTTTTTTATTCTACAAAGAATCTCCAGAACCTTGTTACAAATAATAAAGAAAACCGACGAAAGAAGACTTCTAAAACAATAGCAAATCGCATAAAATGTTAATATTACAGACTTATATTAATAAAAAAAATGTTAATATTACAGACTTATATTAATAAAAAAAATGTTAATATTACAGACTTATATTAATAAAAAAAAAGTTAATATTACAGGCTTATATTAATAAAAAAAAATGTAAATATTACAGGTTTATATTATAATATAAGCCTGTTTTAAATTTTTTTTGTTTATTAATATAAGCCTGTAATATTAACATTTTTTTAATTAATATTAATTAAAAAAAAATGTTAATATTACAGGCTTATATTAATAAACAAAAAATTTAAGAAATGATTTATTCAGATATAATGACAATATCGTTTCGCGTTGAATTTTTTTTTTTTAATAAATAGGACAAATAATTTTTTTTTTTTTTTTTTTTTTTTTTTTTTTTTTTTTTTTAATATTACAGTATTTACATGTCGTGTTTTTTATGTAGTATAACCATATAAACTTGGAATCTGGAAGAAGATCATATCGATCTTGTCGCCAGAACCATATAAAAATTACAATATAAATATAATATAGTATAATACAGGTAGTTTATAACAAAATAAGAAAATATTTTCTTTAGCTTTTAGTTTTTATTTGAAAAACAAAAAATAGCAATGATGATGAAGATGATGACGGTAATGATGATAATTATGGTTCTGTCTCGATGACCATGTCATCGAGACAGGACCATAAAAAAAACAATTGACATGAACATGTCAATATGATAAAAAATATAAAAAAAGATTGAAAAAAATTCAAAAAAATACGAGTTTTTTATTCACTATTTTTGAATTTGACTTTATAAGTATTTTTTTAAAAAGATAAACACCTTTGAAAGTTACATAATTCTGATTTTATCTATAACTGTTTGATTCCAAATAAAATCGCCTCGAGACGTTATAAAAGCGCCACGACACGTTATAAACGCTCCTCGACACGCAATGATAGATATGCCAAAATTAGTTTTATATTAAGGTTGCTGGATTATCATTCCTTAAATCGTATTTGTTTTTGTGCTTAGACGCTCATGAAAAAGTCATGAAAGAAAAATCGGGGTTAAGTCTATCTTTCAACTTAAGACAAAGAACATTAAGTTAAAATATGTCAAAAACATTTCAACAAAAAGAGATTTTGCATAAAAATAACTATCTTTAAAATTTATAAGACGTGCAAGATGCTTCTTTCGCTATTAATAGTATCTAATTTTTTTTTTTAACACGACTTCAAGTAATTGCATATTCAATATATTACTTGATAAATAAGTAATATTATATAATTAATATTTTTCATCGTGTTTTTCATCACGTTTTTTATAAATAAAGTATCATATCAAAACTCTCAATAAAGTAAATATCAAAACTCTTTGTAGCAAAGTTTTTTTGAAACTTTGCTACAAAGAGTTTTGATATGTACTTTATTGATAAGTTTTTATTCATTTGCAATGAAAGGTTTTTATAGATTAAAATAGATGGTAACTGAAAATTTATGAAAATAGATAAAAACTGAATAACTTTTGTTTCTTTAATTTTAATCTCATTAATTGATATTTAAAGAATGTAAGTATGTGTTAGATAAATATTGCACTCTTACGAGTATATATTAAAGTTATAAAAAAAAGTCACTCAAATATGTTATTTAAATACAAATTCATGAAAAATATTTTTCCTACTTTTTTGTCTCCTAACAATTTTCTTACTTTTTTGTCTCCTTAAATATTGTTTAGTTATCGACCCTCGTGCTCTAGTTGCGTAAAATAATAAGGGGCGTTTAATTAAGATTCCTTAGATAATAAACTGTACCACGCCTCATAGTTTTTTGATCAATAAGAGGTATAACATTATAAAACATCGGTATTTATCATGATAATAAGCTAATTGTTACAACATATTAAGAAAGGCTTGAATATATTATACCGCTTACTGGTACTATTTCTAAACTTATTATAGAAGCTGATATATCAACGCGCATGCTTGAATCTACTAATAGGAGGATAAAATTGGATTGGCCAATTAATCATACATAAAGCGCAAAAAGATGTAATAACTTGTTTACCATAGACTTGTCAGACCTCTTGCTGAGACTTCATGTCACTCTCTGCACAAAACCTTTTTTAATAAAATGACATTGTTAATGACTTTGTTGTCAACCCTGATATTCTATTTACTGTGATCGGAAATCAAGTAATATAGAAAAGCCCATTTTGCATTACTATTATTTACGTTGTTTTGTACAAACAAGGAATACTCTGCATCGTAAGGATTAATGTTATAATGAAAATAATTCAGCGCCAATTTCACGATATTATCTAAATTACATAGTTAAAAATGATTAAACAAATGCAAAGTACTTTTAGAATAAAAACTTAGTTTTTGCTAACATGAAGTTCTACTTTTTAGTGGTAAGATTTTTTTTCAGTTTACATTTCACTGATTTGAACTATAAATATAAATTTATATCTAGTAAACATAAGAAGTATGACGTAAAACATAAAGTTATAACACATGTATATAAAACACATCTTGTTTTTAATGGCTAATAATTAGTTTTTAATTTACAACTTATCTATAATATTCAAATATTATGTATATAAAAATTTTACATCACATTTTATATAAAGTATATTTAATTTAGCTTTACTTGGTGCTCAACTTGGTGCATTGTATTGTTTAACATATTAATAAAAACTTGCGACTAAAAAAACGGTACGAAACAAAACGTTAAGAAAAAAATATTGTTTTGATAAAACCAAAACAATATAAAACAAGATTCATTTTGTTTTTTAAAAACCTATTTGAGCCGAAACAAGTTCAGTTTTATTTTTTAAAATACAGCATAAAATAATATTCTAGCTTTGTAAAAATACAAAGCAAAACGGTTTGCTTTTTGGTTTTGTAAAACGGTACAATATTGTAATAATCGTTTAGTACAGTATCAAACCGAACTCCAATAGAATACTCGCATTCTTATGGAGAATTTGATAGCAGGCCTTTAGCAACGAGGGGAGGGGGGGGGGGAGGAAACTGAAGGGGCATTTGCTCCCCCAACAATTTTTCAAACAATCAAATTTGAATTAATTGACTGAATAAATGACTAAAAAAAAGGTCTTTAAAACTATTTTGTGGCCCCTTATAACTTTTGTTCCTACGGGTCTGCATAATAGTAAGAATCCAAAACATTTTTATTCCTTATTAATTTTGCAATAAGTATGAAGTAACCTTAATTAATTATATATATCAACTTAAAGTTTATTTCAAGATCCATATCAAAGTAATTTTTTCTTTAGTTTCTGACATACATCGATAATGGTAATAGCCAACCATCGGAAGATCCGCACAAAAAAGAAGAGTTAAATGATTTTACGTTGCAAAAGGAATGGAGCGCAATTCAGAGAAAACCTGAAAAAAATGAAAAACTTCATAAACCTATACTTACAAAAGAAGTTAATCTTATTTTTGATAAATGGGGAAACTGCAAGCTAGCATTGTTGTATTGTCGAAACGGTTTTTACATTGATATTAAAAGTAACATGGTGGTTGGGGTTTCTTATAAAAGTTTCATAACAAATGAAACAGGTACGTAGGTAGGTACGTGTGTACGTACGTACATTACCAGTTTACGTTTTCTTTATAAGAAAGTGTATTTAAACGTTGTTTTTTTTTCTATATATGTAGGTTTATTTCAAATAGAAACATATGGCAAAAGTTTTGTTATGTTAAAGCATGTAGAATCAAATAACTATATTGCGATGAATAATGAAGGAAAACTGCACGCGTTGGTTAGTCTTTTTTTTTCTATTTGAGGGGCTAAATAATATATACTATTAGCAATATACAAGTATTTAAAAATTATCATTAAAGAAACCCTTATAAATTAATAACAGCAGCTAGGAGATATTGCTGCCGTTATAAGCTGAAAATTTAACAATTTATTTAAAAATTTGATAAAAACCTGGAAAAGTGTAGTACTTTGTATTTCCTACATCATACGCAACGGATTCAGTTCCTTATATCTATATAAATATTTTTTTAAGATAAAAAAAATATAAGCATGATAAAAAATAAATTGTTTAGCATAATACCTAATTCAAATACCTTTTAACATTGAGTTTTTTTAAAGCAACCGTTGTTTGAGAATGTAGAGAGAATGAGAGAATGAGTTGTTTGAGAATGTAGAGAGAAATAAAAACTTACTATTTTACTGAGTTTATTAATACTCTCGTTTGTAATTAGTTTTTAAGCCAGGCTCTAATAAACCAGAGGGTAACTTCTTATGGACTGCCCCCCCCCCCCAAGCTCACCCTTAAAAAAACCAATGTAGTTACTTATCTTAAAGCTATCAAGTTGCATAAACTACGTTTATGCAATTTGAGTACTTTTTTACTACAATCTAGAGCAGAAGTAAAAAAATAGTGTTATACAAATAAAAATATAATTTAAGGCAAGTAAAAATAAAAATATAATTTAGCAGCAAATGTTCTATAGCGGAAATTCAGTGTACCTATATAGGCATTTTGAGTCCACTGTAGTTTTGTTCCTCAATTACTTAATGGACCATTAGTAGCTTCCTCCAAAACTGACTAGCTGATGGCTATCCACTATATGACATATTGGAAAGTTATTGGATGGTGCTTTCAGATCCCATAAATGGTACACAAAGTAACTGATAAGCAAAACTTTTTTTAGCGAAACTTTTTAGTATTTCCGCTAAAAATATTTATTACTATTAGCAAGTATTGTTGCAGTTTTCAGAATAATTTAACAAATTGATGCTTTTTTATTTTTGTTTTTCTTAAGTGGCAAACCCCCTCTAAATTTTTCAAAAACTAAAAGAAAAATTTTTTTAACTATTATTATTATTATTAATAATAATAGTTAAAATTTTATTCATATTTTTAATCTGGAAAAAAACAATATGATTTTTAATAAGTTTTTGCCTCACATTTGCTATTTTATTCCTAAGTTTAAAAAATGGTCATAGCAACGCGCGTAGCAACGGAGAGAATGCACTTTTTTTGTGCTTTTTTAAAACTTCTGTTTCAAATGCAGATTAAGATTTATATCCTATTTGCTACCTAATATTCTGTTTCTTATTATACGTAGACATATATGATTATATCAAATTATCAAAGTTTATTTATACAACTACATAAACAAAAATTATCTTCTTGTTTGTAAGTCTGGTTACAGACTTACAAACAAGAAGATAATAAAAATATCATCATTTAGGACGAGTGAAAGTTTTAAGGTTAAAGGTAGGTTTTTATGATTTCAACTTTTATCAAAAGGCGACAAGTCAAAAAAATATGCAGGAAATACTATGAAGCTCGTAGGTTTTAAAATAACTTTCCACAAAGTAATTTTTTTAGTTTTATTTTAAAAGTCTCGAATTTTTATGAATTTATTTTTTGTTTTGCGTTTTTAAAAACTTTTGCAACGTAAAAAAAAATCTCAAAAACTAATAGGGCTATCATCATAATAACTTCAGGGAGTGTTTATTTTATCAATATTTGTAATATGAATTAAACTTGAGATTTTGAGTTATCGAGTTTTTTATATGTTATTTAAAACTTTTTTTTTATTATTCAACTTGTTTTTACTTTCTTACAAAAAAACTAAACTCATTAAAAAATCGGCTTCACTTATATCACAGTTTTACATATTTAGAACAGTTTTTGCAAAGTTACATTATCACTTCTTTACTCACTTTTCTTTATTTTTTTACTGCTTAAACCCAGTTTTTTGGGCATTTTTAGTTATTTTTATTGGTTACCATAGCAACAAGCTACCATTTTAAACATACTTTTACATTTCTAATGTCATTATAATATTTACTGTCTGAATTAAGTTAGTTTATATGCATTGTTTTAAAATTTCAGGGTAGCTACTCTTTAAACAAATGACATAACATATAAATAAATATAAAACATAATATTCAAATAACATATTTTTACTAGATCTCTTTGGCCATCGCTGACATAAAAAAATGACATATTTTGAAGTACTGATTTTTCTAATTCCACAGCGTTTGAGTAACTTAGAAGTAATACCTATATATAGTATATACATATATATATATATATATATATATATATATATATATATATATATATATATATATATATATATATATATATATATATATATATATATATATATATATATATATATATATATATACATATATATTATTAAAACTTAATAATAAAAAAAAATTAATTAAAGAATCTAAATTTAGTAAGATTTAAAAAAGTATTAAATACTAAGAATTAGGTTAGATAAGTAAATAAGTGATAAGAGTTAACACTAGATAAAGCTTATTTCTATATTTAATTACAAAACTGATGGTACATTTCTTTTAAAACAGTCCACTAAAGTGATGTATAGAAATATATATCTATATATCTATATATCTATCTATCTATCTATCTATCTATCTATCTATCTATCTATCTATCTATCTATCTATATATATATATATATATATATATATATATATATACATATATATATATATATATATATATATATATATATATATATATATATATATATATATATATATATATATATATATATATATATATATATATATATATATATATATATAAATATATATATATATATATATATATATCTAAAAAAATATAGGAAAAAAAAAATAGAATTTCTAATTCTATAGAATGTCTCTTAATTTTCATAGAAATTGCTATAAAACTTTTTTTCTTTAATAATATATCTATATTTATATATACATATTAATATATGTATATATGTATATATATATATATACATATATATATATATATATATATATATATATATATATATATATATATATATATATATATATATATATATATATATATATATATATATATAAATGTTTAGGAAACAAAGACGGACGAATGTTTATTCTATTATTATCTGGAGAAAGGAGAATACGCAACTTTTTCTTCAGCAAAATATTTTGTTAACGATTATTACGATTTGTACATAAGTTTAAGAAAAACTGGAAAAATACGTAAGGCCAATCATTCAACACCATTTCAACGCTCATCTCAGTTCGAAATAATTCCAAAAATATCTGGAAAAGATCAACTATGCATCCGAAGATAAAAGTAGTACAAATATCAAACCGACTATATATGTCTTGTGGTTTTATGGCAATATAAAAAAAAAGAGTTTTTGCCATTCAAAACTTTAGCATTAATAAATGCTGCAGTCATTTGAGGACAGCGGTTACTTGAGTCAGCTGCTCTTTAATAAATGCTTTTTAAAAAACAGTTTTAGCAATATGCAACTATATAAAATTCAAGCTTTTGTATATACTTATTTATGTATATATGGATATATTTGACTTAAAATTTTGTTAAACAAAATTTAATTTATATTTATGAAAATTTTTCCCAAAAAAATTTCTTTTTTAAAATGATTTATTTTTAGTAAAAATTTCTTCTCAAAAAATCTGATTGACAAATAACACTAACGACAAATATTTTTTGCGCCAAATCTTTTTTAGCATGGTCTAAATAAAGTTATGAAAACTATTGGTATAAAATTAAAACGTATTTTGAGTGCCAAACAAAATTGGCAGAATATCGTATATTTGTGTTTCCTTTGCATTTCTATGTAAATAATCATTGGTGGCATTTAAAATTATAATAGATATTTAACAATATATATATATATATATATATATATATATATATATATATATATATATATATATATATATATATATATATATATTTAGCGTTTAGAGCAAGTAAAATTGGTGCGCCCTCTCTTTTCTTAGTTAAAAAAAAGTAAAAAATAATATATAAAATAGTGTATAAAACCTCTATGATTTAAAATTGTGTTTTGGAGGTTTTATACATATAGAATAGAAAAACGAGCTCTCGACATACTTTCGCGTCACGGTAAGGAAGGAGGCGTGAACTTGCTGGTTAAATGCACATCCGCGATGCTCTGTGACAAGACTTCTGTGACAAGTCTTCTCGGGGCACTTAAATAACAAAAAAAAATACAAAAAAAACACAAACATATGTTCTCCTTCTCCAATCTAAAGATACCAAAATGGTTAGTTGGCTAATAATTCGGTAGAAAAGTAAAGTAAAGGGTTAGATTAGCGATTCTAATTCAAAATATCATTAAACGTTTCACGGCTTTCTTGCGAAAAAAGCCATGCGTCCAGTAATCTGATTGGTGTTTCCGTATACGTTCTCATAATCTAGACAAAATAATTGTTGTTTTACTTCTCTTCTACAATTTTAATTTACTCAATAAAAATTTGTTTTAAATCAAGTTATTCAAAATTTGTAGCCATTTCTAATTTCTAGCACATGGTTTAAAATGTTTTTTTCTTGTCTTTTCATTTTTAATTTGGCCAAACAAATTATTGCTTTCTCAATCGAGAGGTCAAAGAGCTAAGACGATAGTGACATGTTGCTTTTTAAATATGTTTTTATTATTTTCAGTTTTGAAAAACCTCTTTCTGCTGTAGCTGTCGTCATCATTAAAATCTCTTTTAGTATGAATAATAATCGTTTTGTATGTCAGAGCTCAAGTAATGATACTGCCTTTGGGTTTCATTATTAGATTGGCTAAAATAATGTCGTATTTAGAAAGCAATTTTATTATTTGTAGAAAACTTTTGCGCAAAGTTTTTCACATTTTGAGGCTTCATGTTGACCGTAGTCGTATTGTCCGTAATCCTAAGAGCTCGGAAAGAGTAATTATTTATTACTCTTTGGTTACATTTACTATACATTGTAACACT